GGAGAATGCCATGGCATCTGTTGGTTCGGTTCACTGCATGTCTCGGAGTGGAACTTACTTGCCACGGGACTTAACTTTGTTCCCTGATTTACTGCACTTCAGCGATGCGCTTTCTTTCGTCAGGACACGTAATTCGAGGTGAAGTTGTTTTTATTTCAATTTTATATTTTTCATTCGAGCTTCACCTTTTTATGGAAATTGGTGGTTGAAAAAATGCAGGACGCTCGTAAATAGAATCCGTCTGGGACTCGTCACCGAAAAAAAAAACTTTTTCCTACTTTGCAACAGAAAATATGTTGTGACGTCATTAAATAAACAGATGGAGATTTCGACGGAAGGTAAAATTTTGGGTTCCTCTTTTACGCATTCATACTTTGAGAAATTCGAGTTACTTTTTTATGTGTATTCGTTTATTCTTTTTCGTCGTGTCATCCTTTTATAGAACATTCAAATGTTTCTTTGTCTCTGTGTTCGTTCCGTTTTACTTTTTTATTTTTCTCTCTTTCTTTCCCATCGCCCTGATGGTGGAGGCAATAAATACCTCCGAAACGTCGGTAAACGTCTACCAGACTACACGGCACAACAACCCAGAAGAAAGTCATCTTCGGACTCATCGCCATGAAAACCTCAAATCCTATATTTTTTCGTTTCTTCTTCCTTCTTTCTTCCTCTATATTTCCTTGTGTACTTTCTCTGTCACTGGCTCTCTTCGTCTCTTCCGCCCTCCTTATCTTCTGGCACTCGCCTCCCACTGTCTTTCCGACGGTCGGTCGAAACTGCCTTCCGTTCATTGACTTAAGTCACTATATTCAGGAAGCCATCTGCGATGTTCGCGCCACCTGGGTTGATATTGGCATGCAGCCATCCCATGGCAGTTGAGTAGCCTTGTTTAACTGAAACGGGCATCGCCAGTACGTCACGCGTTTTGCACTCGTGTGCAGTGACGCGGTCAGAACATCTTTGTTCAACTGCGAGGAAGTGCCTCCCGTCCAATCGGAGTTAATTGCATTCTTTTACTTCTTAATTGCAGCGATCAGTTACTATGACGTCTTCCTCTCTTCTGCTGACTCCTGTCAGCGAACGACTCGCATCTGAATGGGTTCTGGTTTATTGGATCACGTAATGAGATATCTCGTTGCCCCGTAACGTAATCTAGAACACACCCAAATTCCAATTTACGAATATTGTATTTGAACAGCCCTTTCTCACTGGTAGTTCTCACTTTGATCCTGTGAAATATATTTCGAAATTCGTGACGTCCGTCTTCGTTCAAATTTAATTTTTGTCATTTAAAGTCAAGTTCCTGTCAGTTATAAACTTTTAAATTCTACGTTACTCTTGGTCTCGCAACACAGGTTTCATGAAGCCTGTTTAAGTAAAACGTTTCCAAGAAAATAAATTAATACCTCAATCAGCCTTACGCAAACGTAGAAGACAAAAACGTAGCAACAAGAATATTTCCTGGAATGCGTCCTTTATTTGAACATAATTGTAAACTGTGGTAATAAATATAAAGGTAACCAGACAACATAATAATTAACTGTTCAATAAATCGAGATAGTTCATTTACTTTTACTGACTGTGGGTCGAGCGACCAGAGAAACAAGAAATTTTCTCTTTGCCACAAAATCCAGACAGGTTAGTTTTCGGATTGGGTGGCGTAGATAGGATCCATCTTACTTAGTTTCTTGTAAAGACGGTAATGAACTTACGAGTCCCATAAGAGGCGGGTAATTACTTGACTAGCTCAGTGATCAGCGGTTTCTCAAGGATTCTGATCTATTTACGTAACCTGGTTACTTTATGTGTCTCGTTATTTATAAAACCTGTAACTAAATTTAGATTTTAAAGTGTCTTCCTGCTGGGTTCTTGCGTCTTGTAATCTACCACACTTCTTACTCCCACCCTTTGAGAACCTCAAACCTGAGGCAGCAAAGACCTCTGAAACGTCGGTAAACTTCTACCAGACTACACAGCGCAACAACCCAGAAGACATCCACCTTCAGACACACCGCCTTGAAAATCTCAAATCCCACTCAAAAATACGGATTTCGCGAGACTGCCATCTTATAATCAGAACTAAATGATGTCTGTCCATACTAAAATTTTCGGGAACATGTAACAAAAGACGCACTTTCTTACTTCTGCGTTCATATTATTGATGGCAGAGAATTAAAAAGTATAGTTTGTTCATGACAAGTTTTATACAACTGTCAATCGGCTGGAGAAGTCAATAACCGTGTGTAATTAATTCACGGACAAATCGACCCCAAAATACTAGCCTGTCGTGCCTCGTAAAACGTAGGAGGTAGGCTAATAATAACCCGTCTTCGTACAGCTGTTCAATAATTAATAGCCACATTTTCTGCTGAAATAGCCGGTCCTTTTATTATTGCATGTCAGTGACTGTATTGAGGATAGCTGTCTTCATACACGTGCCTCGTATAGACAAGAAAATCAATTAAATAAAATAATAAATATGGCAGCCTTAATTTTTGTTACATTACATGTATTTTGACTTAGTTTATGCCATTTTAACTTTAGAAGGCTCGTTTTTTACCGTCAGATGTTAGTGTGATAAACCGGTGGTGGCCTATTTTAAAATGTTTCTGAAGAGACCGAGAGGAAGGGACGAATGTTCGAGTATCCAGCCTCCAGACGCAGATGCGAACCTGAGACCCTGTGAATACCAAGGAGTGTTAATCATTCGTCCGCGATGCATTGATTAAACTATGACCAGTTCTTGCAGCAGGGGCGTGGACCTCATCTACTGCCGAGATTATAAATGCGTGGAGCTACACCTCCATTCCCCTCATGGCGTGGTTAATTAAGCACAGGCATTATATCGAGATGAAGTTGGCTGTCGTTCGTTACGTTTGCGCCGTGTAGTTTGATGAAACGACGTTTCAGAGGCGCTGAATGTCCTCCCTTATCAGGTCGATTAAGGCAGTCAGAACCTCAGAAACGTCGGTAAACTTCTACCAGAATAGACGTCGTAACATTCCAGAAGACAGCCATATAAATATTCACACCTAAATTGGGACGAATTTTGGTTCAGCGTTTCGGCGAACAAATTAGCGCCGAATTGTGAGCCGCTGTATAATTTTTTTGTTCTCGCGGGTTGGATGTAGCGTGCTTTGTGTGGGTAGGTTGGGCAGATGAGGAGAGGCGAGTAGAACTTTTACTCAGTCCACTACACAACACAGGCTGCTTACTGGCTGAGTCAGTCATTCAGTCGCGTGTTGTTAACACTCGCGGAAGGAAGTGATCGCTCTAAAGACGGCTTAACAATTGACTGATCGCCCTCGCTAGTGATCGCGAATGTCGTTCAATTCGTAAGGAATTAAATCGATTGTTGTGTCTGTGTGTGTTGTCGACCACAACAGTGCTCAGTGAATACATTAGTTCTTATGTTTTTTTAATTGTTGTTCGTGGTAACGGTGTAAGTAATATGGCAAAATTAATATTGACGGAAAACGTTCAATTAAATAACTGACGTCTGTCTATTAGAACATATAAATAAGTCCTGTAATCGTAATTATATTGATTCAAACGATGCTTATATGTTGTTATAACAACTGCCTGGTTTGTCAATATTCGAAAATGTAATTTATAACCGTAAAACGTGTGACGTGTTTGGTCGTAGCTTCTACTCGATGTCGTAGAACGTCGCAGAGGGAAACTGTAATAGTAAGCAAAGTCTGGTCAGGCACTCTTCTATGAGTATTTGACGTAAAATCTGTCTGTTTTATCGGCTTATTAGAATTTATCTTGTTAAAACTTGTTAATAATGGAATAATTTTACAATAAGGTGCTTATGTATTCTTCTAATACAGATCCTCGTATGTTAATGTTACAAAACTACTTTACAAAACGATTATCAAGTGTTTTATTTATTTTTACATTTGCACTTAACTTTAAACCGATTGTACATTGTTCATCCTTATCAAGCAGAAGTTGGGGACAAACTCCGGCCCGTTCCGACATCATTCTTATCTTCCGGTTGTGAGGATTCATTAAATGGTGAACAATTTTTATATTTCAAATATATTAATTATGCCTTTATCTTATACACTTAGAACAAACAACACATACGTTCGACATGAATTTTTAGTTTCACAGCTAAATTACTACATTGTCTTCTTATTAATATTACGTAAAATATTAACTGCTAACGCATAAAGTGGGGAATCCCACCGAAAATTTGAATTTATGCTGTATGACACGTTTGAAAGTTGGTAGGATTTTAATTAGTTTTCCTCTTTTTGACAGTGTTAAGTCTTTAATCCTGTTTCTGTAAGAGGTGTAGACAATCACTCCTACAGAACACAATTGGTTGTAGAGAAAATGTTTCTCGAAAACATTGTTAACTATATATACCATCTGCTTTAACAGTCGTTAACTCTGCATGTTTCCTGCAGAGTGTGTTAGTGAGTTTGAAATGGTTCTCCAGATGAACAGCGATTATTTCTGAAATATCTTCGTAATTTAGAAGTCGGATGTTTTCTTTTAGGTACGGACTATATGTTTAACTATTGTTTCTATATGAACTTCGGGCTTCAGACTGTTAATTACGTGTGAAAAGGTTTATCTGTTACAAGATCAGCTGTCGTACTAAATGCAAGACAATGAGAAGGGAATCACATGAAAAAATTGACTGTCGCGTGTACCAGCTGCTCGGCTCTCAGACAACTAATAAATGCAACTCTACAAACGTATGAAAGGCTATTATTATTCGTGTGTTGTGATGAACTGAGACTTAAATCAATGGCTGAACTAGTGACCTGTTGCTGTCTGTCGCCATGGCACTAACTAAATCAAATGGAATCGTAGTAGCAAGAATTTTATGCTGGTTTTTGGCTCCGTTTTACAAACAGAATATTTTCCCCGAACTAAGACACTGATCGACGAGGGTAACATCCCCAATGCCGGTCCGAGGGGCTGTTTGCCCCACCCTCACTGGAGTCCTGTGTTCTTATCTCGTCCTCTTTGCGTTGAAGGGGGCTCTACAAGAGCTGAAGCTGTATGGAACGCCATCTCTCGCCGAGGTCCAGTGTGACAACGCGTTCAAGGTAAGCCAATTTCTTAAATTTGTTATTTAAAGATTAATTTAGCTGCCATTGGTCATTCTAGACTCTATTCTGTAACCAGCCACTGTCGCGATGGTCATATGAATAATTTCTTATGTGTAACGTTGAAAGAGACGTGAAGTCACACGTGTATTTCGACAGACTGGCAAATAAAGACGTATCCTACTGTTTATACATCTCGTAACTGCATTACAATGTGTGTACTTTAAAAGCTGAATAAGTCATTTCATGTGACCCCCGGTCGTTTGTCAGTGCTAAGAAGGTTTTTGAAATTATCGCTTGTTCTGGTCGCCAGAATTAAAATCGTTATCTATCTTCAGCTTTGAAGATGAAAACGGCATGTTCATCTGATACGTTGACTTCATACGACGCCAAAAACTCACGACTTCATCATGAAGTCAGTTGAAACAGCATCTGTTAAACGCATATCTACTGAAAACAGCTATCAACTCCTCTTTTCAGAGATATTTAAATTATCTTATGATAATTAACAAGAGACATCTTCCCCTTTCAAGGACAAATACAGTGAACGATTTATTACAGGACTTGTTTATAAATTTCCTCTTTTTAGTGTTTTCCTCTGAACACTGAAAACACGCCTGTCCTGGAACGCGAACCCCCACAAAACCCAGACACGTTTAAGCACAAAACCACCTCTGTTATTGCCTGAATCGCATTTTAATGCCAGAATGAAATTTGAGTATAGGGTGTTGCAGTACACTGAAGTAATTTTCAGATTGAGATACTCAGAAAACGAGGACGGATTAAGGAACCATTAAAATTGTATTTATGGTATTCTCAGAATAAACATCGATTATTTTCTTAAAGAAGATTAACTACCTCATCTTTATAATGGAGACGTATTGCGTTTTCTTGTCATGTGCTGTTTAAGGATACATTCAGTGTTCATTCTGAGACGCAAAATGCACCTGAGGACATTGCAAGGCTCGTAGTTACAGCAGAGGCAGTTTGACCTTTGGGTTGTTTAAGGAAGAGACTTGTCTTGGTTCTTACGGTTTGAAAACTCGAATAGCGGACCATATATAGAAAAGACACGGATACGCTTATTGCCACAGCGGGGATCATCATAACGTCACGCAAAAATTTAACTCAGTTACGTGTGTCGCTGCTGGTTGTCAGAAAATTTGAAGCCTGTGGTGCCATTTTACAGTGACCTTACATGGCCTTAAACACAAACTCACAGTCAAGATACTAAATTGTAGCTACAAATCACATTGTTGTTATAATGTTTGTCGTGTTTGGAACGAGGAAAATGAACAGAATTTATGGATACACGTATCTTTCAGACATGTCTTTTCCATTGTTGTTGATCGATGATAAAAATCTGTTTTATTAGGTTAGTTCCATTGTTGCGTGTTAGTTGAGAATATTCGTTTCGCACAAGACGGGGACAGGTGCTGCTGCTTGCGGTCACGGCAATAAACATTAGGGTTTAGTTTCCTAAATTGCATGTCATTTCTTTACTAGCGAAGCGACTTTTAGCATCTCAAGAAGGACTATTTATCCCCCATTGAGTTGTGCTAACGAGAAATAATTTCGGTCTCAGCGTGGTCTGTAAGGTCTTTTGTCGCTCTGATCGCTGTGGTGTGTTTTTGCACAAGTCCCGTAACAGTGAACTAACACGAAACCAAACATCCAGTGTCTTGTTCTGTGTTGTTTCAGGCGTGTTAATATTAGATGGCGTATTTTAAGATGTTGACTTCCACCGCTACTCCCTTCCCTGCTACACGCTCATTCAAATATTCCAGTAGTTTTAGCTCTGTTTCTCCAAAACTCTTTTTTTTTCCCCTCGGAACACTTTGTGCCTAAAAATGCTGACGGAAGACGTCGAGGGTCATAACAGCTAGACAGATGAAATGAAGATCCATTTCTGTGACCGATTATTAAAGAGAAATGTTTCTGCCTGTCGTGTATTACATTGTTTTAACATTTGGTACAGTGGTGTAATTCAGTAATTATTATTTTTTTTTAAATTTCTTATTTAAATATTCCTTCTCGCAGCTGCGTATATTATGCATTGTCTTATGGTGATTAATTAATTTCGCGTCATCATCTCTGCCCATTTTGTAGTATTAACCAGTAAGGTGCCCAGAGGGACTGAATAAAACCGCGGAAAACCTCTCTTTACAACTCCAACAGCTTCGTTAAATGAACAACACTGGTTTTCTGATATTTCAGATTTTCACGATGATTATGATGACATTAGTTTTAATTAAAAGATGATTATCATCTGTCAGTACGTAAATTTATTCACGGAATAGACCGTGTTTCGGAAATCTCTGTTTTGCGGAAAGGACTTTAATTTCGCTTCGGTAAGTTGTGCTTCAGTGCGACGTTGTTACAGGCTTGATCACAGCCTACTTCGCCCATGTAATTTGCATAATTCAATTACAATACAGTACGTCTCCTCCTTTTGTATCTAATGTGTCACATGACGTCTGGTTCAATTTAGTGGTGCATGAGTGGCACAAGAATTACAAAGTTTGTGTGTTGTATTTAACAATGTTACAGCTGACGGACTCCTTTTCTCTCTTTCTGATCACGCCCATTCTTCGTTCTTTTGTCACAGTTTGCACTCGGCAGATATTATTGATATGCTAAAACAAGGACAAACTCATCTAGTCGAGGAATTCTACGTCTGTTATTAAACCTGTAGGTTCATTATCGTGTTAATAAAAGCTTGCAACCGGCATCTATCCAGAGTCAGATTAATCGAATCTGAAACCTCCAAAAATTATTTTTTACTAAAAATAATAATAAACACATCGTTGAATGTATTTAAGGAATTCCCAAGATTTTCATGTTCCGCTGGACCTCATATCGAGCGAACGTGCTGAGTGTATCCACGAGTAAAGTCGTTGTTGGTGTCTTTCTCATAGTACACTCCTGGCTGTTACATAATCAGTTTATAATTCTCTGGTAGCTCAATAACAATGTTAAATACCGCTAACATAACATGAGAAATTGAACATGATTCGAATACAGAAACATTTGTCTGTTTGGCTCGACTGTGGGCATTGTATGCAAAACAGGATAAGCCATTTTAGATGAAGTGATACATGTAAAGAATCACTTGACGTAATGACAAGTAACATTTCGCTAAAGAGAGACTAGAAAATCCAGCACAGCGGATAGACACAAAGAAATTAAACTTCTCTATAGGGATCTCATGACGAGTTACCAAGAATTCTACACGTATATCTGTGGTTGATTGTTTGGATTAAAGTCTATTTAATGGTATTGAGCTATTTGGGACTGAGAACGCGCTAAACAAATAAAACTTGTACACTACATACCTTTTCTTTCTAACATATTTTGTGTAGATTTTTGCTGCAACGATAAATGTTTTGTTGTAATTTAATCACTGTAAACTACACTGCAAAAAAGCATTGGATAGAGTAATGGTGGTTTCGTTATACCGCGTTAAATATAAACAAATCTAAATATTTTTCAGGTAAAAGTTACAAAACATGATTATTTTCGTATTTTATGTTCGTGTGACAAACAGGTTTTTGAAAAACGAATAAAGAACCAGTTAGTTAATAATAAATTACTTCGCCTGATAACATTAGCCCTTTGCGGTCCATTTTAAATACCACTATGGCTCTCTGCTGGTCTATTTAAATGCCACTAAGCTGTGTACATTTAACTACTATTATGTACAGTTTTGATTTTCTTTTTAACTTGCATAAAACGGAAGATACTTTTCTAAATATGGTGAAAATATGTTCTGAGAGGATCACAGTTCCTTTTGTTTGAATACTGACCGTGTAAAATATTTTTCACGGGCTGTACCACAGTCGCTAGTGAGATGTGTAATAAGTGGTGCCTTTCTGCTTCCTGTCGATCGGTTGAGAATAAAGCAAGTCCAGGTCAGTAGATATGACTTTGGCGACGTCTAAACATCTCTTATTGCATACAGATATACGATATATAATCATTGGATTTCATATTCTCAGAACTCTGCTTCCTTTCGTCGTAATTGTTTTCGAAAGGTCGAGACCAAATTCAACACCAGGAAAGTGAAACAGAATGCGAAATGTAAACGATGAAGTCACTACACACAAAGAATGCTTGATAAGAAGACGAAATAATATGCACGTGTCAGTGGTAGATTGCTCTATGAGCCAAAAATAATTAAAAAATATAATTTCCAACTAGGGAGATGGATGTTTGTTTATAACTTTATCAGATATAAAATACTTCTGTTCTAAGTAAATATGACAGCTACACATTATAAAATATATTACGTCTCTATATGATGTATGGCAAAACACTTGGTGTGGAATCCTGGCTTCTTTCGACACGTGTCAGAATAAAACGACTTTTCTCTCTTGCCCTCTTTCAGTATTATAAGGTATACAAAGTCTTACCAGGAAAACTAGGATAGAACTAGTACAAAGAAGAAGGCTTGAATGATATGCTGACACTGCCAGCCTCAGTTTGAGTCCAGATCACGTAAAAGTTAGTAAAATACGTGGCGGACTCAGTCCGACATCGAACCGGAACTCGGATATTTAAATGTCGGACTCAGTCCGACAGAGACCGCAAAGGGTTAAAGATAAAAAACCCAAATACAAAATTTAATTTAAATCAGTCTATTAATTTCAGACAGTCATGTAGGCGGATGCACAGATAGTAATTTCAAATTATAGATTTATTTTATTTATTGTGTTCAAAGAGCGTAGAGACCTAAAATTCAACAAAATCTGAATTTCGGTATCGAACTGACATTTACTGGGCCCCAAAATTACAACTTCGCTGCGCTCCTTGTTTTATGTTACGTTACTTTCGTTCTAGATGTAAAAGTCCACGTTTCAGGGGACTCTGCGTTCCATCTGTTAATCTCCTGACGATATTAAATTCTTCTGTTTGCAACGAGAAACTTTGTGAAAAGGGACTTTTTTAAAAATCATTTCCTTAATGACATTTCATCGACATTCTCTGGCATTCCAATTAAA